TCGACTACGATCTTTCCTACCTTTGTCGCTCGCAGACTATAGTCTTTATGGCCTCCATCATCTGACTACGAAATTTCCGACCTCCATTGCTCATCGACTACGGTCCTTCCGACCCTTGGCACCCGACTACGATCTTTTTGACTAACGTCGACTGTCAACTATGGTTCTTCTGACCACCATCATCCTACCATGATATTTTTGTGCTTCGTCGCCCAACTACAGTCCTTCCGACCACTATCACGCCACTATGATCCTTCCAACCTACATGGGTCGCGGACTATGGTCCTACTGACCAAATGAACATGTCAAAACTTTTTCTTCCAACTTCCAACACGTAATGCACTCTATATGATGTATATTTGGTGCATCGAGCTAAGGCTTTTTCCCCCAAGAAAGGACCTAATTTATAATCAACTGCAAATACTAGTGGATTCATTTAAACTGGGTCAGTCCCCATGATTTTTTCCTCTTTTTAGTCATTTTTACGTAAAAACTCTGGTGACTCCTATGAACGTTACACCCCAACTGTTTATATGTCTGTGTGATAGATCTTCGTATAAAGCTAGAACGTTAAAATTTACATTTCTCAATTGTTGTGAATATTGCATCCAACATAAACAAATATTTTCTTTTTTTATAATTTTGGGAATCATTTAAGGCGACATGTTTAATAAATATCTTAAAATATTGGTGTAAGTTAGCTCTCACGACGAGGTTCATTTCATAAGGTTTTATCTCACTAAATCAATAATCAAAATATAAAATTAGCATTAGCATGCTAACCCATCTTTAGAACAAAACAAGGAATCATCTCAACATTAAAGGCTTCATTTGAGACAACTTTTTTACTATTTTCTAAAGCATTTTTTTTAATACAAATAATTTTTGTATTAAAAAATTTTGTACAAAAAAGCTACTTTAGAAATCAATAAAAAAGTTATTACATATAAAGTTTAAGATATTTATTCAATTTTCATGGGAAAGATTTATTGAAATAAGATCTTATGCCCAATTTTACTCCTTTAATTCAAATACTGATGTTTTTTTATCAATTATGAGATTAGTTTGTAGTTTCTTCATTATCAAACTCTCCTCGAATTAAAAAAAAAAAAAATCAACAAGACTATCATTTTAAATATAATGTCAGCACTTAATTTCCCCAACTTATAGTGTGTGGCATATATTTCACGTCCCCTAACATGAATATCAAGGTGATGTCTCTACATCAGGGTGAGTTATTACGTCTGGAGTCCAAACTGTCCAGATCGAGGCAAATCCGGACGCGCCACGTCATCCGGATCCACCCGGATACATTGGGGTCCAGGTGATGTGGCGCATCCGGATAAATCCGGATGCCATACATAATAATTTTCCTGGCTTTCACCTTGTGAACATGAGTTTCTCCATAGCTCAAAAGATTGCACCTAATATTTTAGCATTTTTATTGTCAATAACCCAATATTTCCTCTATTGACATTGTTAATACCTCCATTAGACATTGGCAAGTTTCTTTTTTCTAGGGGTGTCAATATTTGACACGACTCAATTCCAACTCAAAAATTTCGGGTTAGGATCAACCCGTTTCAAAAACAGATCGGGTTCGACTTCAATAAATCGACCCGTTTCAAAAATTGGGTCAGGTTCGGGTTGACCTGAAATGACCCAGAATGATCACACCTGCCCGCGTCGCCGCTGTAGCGCTTGGGTCGCCCACTGACACGTTGCTTCCTGGCCGCTACCACTGTGCCACTGCCTGGCCGCTACCGCTACCTTGTCACAAGTTGTTGGCTGCCACTGCCTTGCCGCATGTCGCCCGCTTACGGGATTTGGCTAAATAGGCACGTGAATGGAGGGCTTACGCTCCCGCTGGCGATGACTTATGGGTCGAGTCAGATTGACCCGAACCCGAAGCGGGTTGGGTTCGGTTATAAAAAACCGACCCGTTTGCAAAAGCGGATCGGATTCAGATTGATCCAAATAGTGCCAAGTCAATTCTGGGTTCAACCCAAATCGCATCTAAAATATTATATATTACATAAATAAAAATATCATTATTATATCATTTTAAGTCACATTAAAATAAATTTTAATATTTATTATGTCAACCAATTTAACCTTCTATTCAGCCTTTGAACCTTAGATCTATTGGTCTTTGGGTTCAATCTCAGCTCTAATTTTCAACAACTTGCTGAGTATATTTTGAGCCATCTCAATGAGCTTTTCTTTACTCTATTCTGTAAACTCGCATATAGGAATATTCTTAACCTTTTCCTTCTAGAGCAATCTATTGTCATTTTTGTCTTCATCATACACACCGCCAAGGTCTCAAAAAATTATTCTGTGCGGATGCCGAACTCCATCCGGAGATCACTAGAATATGCCACATCACCCTATTTACTGCTGATGTGGCGCATTCTTGTTGTTCTCCGGACGACGTTTTGCGTCCCATCTCCGCAGTCACACCCCCTTCACATTTTATCACTATCAATTGAGTTTTCTCACAAAATAATTTATACTTATTTGGAGGTGTAATTAAGCCAAGCTGGCTTATTTCATTTGAGACAGTTTTTTTATTGCTTTATGAAACATTTTTTAGTACAAAATTTTCAAATTAAAAAAAAGCCGATGTGGCACATTCTTATTGGTCTCCGGATGCCATTTTACGTCCGATCTCCGCACAAAATAATTTCTCTCCGGTCACACATTCACACCCCCTTCACATTTTCTCACTATCAATTGAGTTTTCTCACAAAAATATTTAAACTTATTTGAAGGTGTAATTAAGCCAAGCTTGCTTAGATTTCATTTGAGACAGTTTTTTTATTGCTTTATGAAACATTTTTTAGTACAAAATTTTCAAATTAAAAAAAATTGTATTAAGAAACTGTCTCATAAGGCAATAAAAAAACTATATCAAACGAAACCTTAATGTAAGCATTTGACCCGGATTTAACTCATAAATATCTCATGAGTTGAATTCGATAAGCTAATAAGTCAAGGTTTAGTTAACGTCGACTTGACCTATTAGCTTGCGAGTCGGTTTATTATTTATCCTCTAATTTCTCATTTTTGTCATTTTATTACAATAGAGCTTGAATCAAAACGATTTTCTCTCACTAATATTATATGAGGCAGCCTGTGTGTCAATTAAAACTCATATAATCATGCACAAACTCTATCTCGACCAATTAACTTTTTCAAGCTCAAGCCCAACTTCGAGATGGATTAAACAAAAATAGGTGTCGATGTGGAAAAATTATTCTATGCGGTCATCGAATGGCGTCCAGAGACAAATGAGAACTCGTCATATCATTTTTATGTTGTGTACCGCTCGGTACCAATTGACGTGGCGCATTATCATTCACCTCTGAATCGTTCGGTGACTGTAATGTGAGAATACAACAGACATTTAGGCTTCGTTTGGGACGGCTTTTTTAATGCTTCTTAAACCTGCTTTCTAGTAAAAAAAATTAATTTTTATACTAAAAAATCGTTTTAAGAAGCATGAAGAAAGCCATTCTAAACGAAACCTTAATCTCCAAAATTCATTGAAGGGGCCTTTTTGGTTGCTAAGTTTTGAGTGCAAAGTAATTTAAAATTCATGCGTTTGGATCATTTCAAATGAAATGTATTTCAGGAGTACATTTGGAAATCACATTCTAATTCATTTTAACTAAATTTGAATTTCCCTTAATTTTTTAGTGCATTTCAAATACTTAACTTAGATAAAAGCTATATTAATTGATCGATAGTTTCAATTTGCCACAATGATGGCTCGTCGAAGGTTGCTCGCTATCTACTTCGAATAGGGTGAATTATTACATCCGGAATCCAAACCGTCCAGAGGCAAATCCAGACGCTCCACGTCACCCAGACCCACCCGGATGCACCAGGATCCGAGTGACGTGGCGCGTCCGGATTCTCCTCCGGACGAATCCGGAGGCCGAACGTAATAATTTTCCGTCGAATAGCCACCACTATTGCTCATCACCCACCACTACTCTAAAGAACAAAATTTTGAAAGCTTTGTACTTATTTAAGCCCATTGCGTCCAATAGACCATTTATTTTATCTCCAAACAGTATAAAACTAAATAAACACACTCAATTGAATTTAATCATTTATGTTGGTTTTAACAGCCTCGGGTTTGTTTGGTTAGTTCATCAAAATCATGGTTAACAACTTGATTAGCAAATTAGTTAAATGTTTAAGACGGGTTTAGATGACACTAATTATGATTTATGATCATTAAAATGCTAATAAGAAATGACTACATAGTTCAATTGGGCTCATAGGCAAGGGAGGGTCCGAGAGATTTATAAGCTTACGTATTCTGATTTCATTGATTTAAATTCATTCAAAATATATCAAAAATATACTATAAATTATAATTTAAATTTCTCAAAAAAAAAATCTAGATTTATTTTACTACAACAAACACCCTAATTTTTTTTAAAAAAATTTACATTTCTTTAACTTTACACTCATAATACATTAACAAAAACAACCCCTACTACAAATATAAAAATTTATCAAATAAAAAACAAAATTTCTCATCTAAATTCCTATTTACACAGCGCTGAAATCATGAAAAATTATTACTTGTAGTATTCAGACATATCCGTAGGTCAATTAAGATGTGTCGCGTCACCCAATACACCACCACGTCATCAAATACACATTGCATTGGGTGACATGAAGTGTCAGGATTATGAGAGATTATTATGTGCGGACACCAGACACAGCTTACCATCCAGAGATGAGTCAGGTGCAATCACGTCATCCAGTATCGAGCTCGCTACCAAGCAATACCGAGCTCGGTAAAGAATAGTACCGAGCCACGATACCAAATAGGATATGACTTGGGGCATTTTCATTGACTCTGAAGAGCGTTCAGCACAGAATAATTCTTCCCGGATTAGGCTCTCCCTAGGTAATAATCTCTCCCAAACGACAACCACCTCAGCCAAGGTATAAAACAAAGCCACGCTCCTCACTCACTATACCAAGTCACCCTCCCCCACCTTAGCATCGACCAGCTTAGAATCCTCCTCCTCTTCGCCGTCCAAACCACCACCACCGCCGGTGAGCAGCTGCGCACGGTCAGCTTGCCTCTCCCAATCAGTACGGTAAATAACGACAAGCATAAGCCCAAGACACGTGGCCTGGGCCGAGAGCAGCCCGAGCCATAACCCTTTGAAATCCAGTCCGGCCCAAAATGAAAGCGTGATGGCCACAGGCATCCCGACCCCATAAAATGATCCGAGGTTTATATTCGCCCCCGCCCGCGGCCGCGCGCTTCCCCTCAACACGCCGCAGCCCGTCGTTTGCGGGCAGTTTCCGAGCTCGCATAGCCCGAGTATCGGCAACACCGCCGCCGTGAGGTCCAATATACGTTTATCGGTGGTGAAAATCCTGGCCCACATGTTGCGGACCGAGAAGGAGAATAAAAAGGCGGTGAGACCGAGCAGAGCTCCACATGTGAGCCCGACCCCAGCGGCCCGTCGGGCCCGATCAGGCCGATTTGCCCCGAGCTCATTCCCCACGCGGGTCGACACGGCCGAGCTGAACGAGTAGGGGAAAATGTAGATTAAGGATGTTGTTAGTATAAGAATGCCCATGGATGCCACGGTGGATTGAGGGTGGCTGAGGAGACCGCAGAGAAGAACCATGATTTCGTACCACCACCATTCGAGGCATATGGAGGCGCAGCTTGGGATGCTAAGGGAGAGAAGTGATCGCCAGCCGGCGATGGAAAAGGTGTTATCAGCGGCAGAAGTGCGGCAGTTGATGCCGGAGAAGCGGAGGTAGAGTAGGAGGAGGATGACGAGGTTGAGGTTGGTGAGAACAGACGCGAGTGCAACGCCGGGGATGCCGAGATGGAAGTAAAGGACGAGGAGGTGGTTGATGGGGAAGTGAAGGGAGGCGGAGATGGCCGTAACGGCTGTTAATGGGAGGGTTATGGATTGAGAGCGGAGGTAGATGCGGAGGGGATGGATGAGAGAAAGGAGGAGTAGGTCGGGGAGGGAAAAGATAATGAAAGATTGCGCGGCGGCGGCGATTTCGGAGTCTTGGCCGCAGAAGAGAAGGATGCGGCGCATGGAGAGCCAAAGGAAGGAGATGGGGATGGAGGCGGAGAGAAGAAGGATGACTGTGCGGCGAAGGGCGAGTACTAGAAGATGCGGCCGGCCGGCGCCATGTGATTGGGCACAGATGGGTTCCATGCCGGCGGCGAGCCCGGATAAAACAGAGTATCCGGTGATGTTAGCGAAGCCAATAGCAAGGGAGCCGCCGGCGAGGGGGAGACTACCGAGGCGGCCGAGGAAGAGCATGGAGATCATGGAACGGGAGTAGAGGAGAAGGTAAGTGAGGACAGTAGGGATGGCAAGGGAAAGGAGAGATTTTGCTTCGATGACGTTGGAGGAAAGCGGTAAATAAAGCTTTGGGTTGCATAAAGGGGATTCATTGATGGCGATTAAGAGCTTTGAGGTGTTGGGAATGGAAGGAGAAGACTGGCACATGGCTAGAGAAAGCTTGTCCCTTTCAGCTATTTAGGAGATCAGAGGTTTTGGGAGGGGTTTTGGCTTGTGAGCGCAGAGGTGTAAAACTGGTAGCTTTAGTTTTATAATGAGGCCGGGAAGAAGAAGACATTCTTACTACTGGTTTTGGAATGTAGTTCATGGCTTGTTGGGGAAGATGAAGAAAGAGCTCCATTCGGCTTGCACTGAGGGAGCAGAGAGAGAGCGAGAGAGATAGATTAGTAGAAATTGAATGAGTGATGTTACATGTCCAAGTGGAGGCTTGCAGGGCGCTACTTGGAAAAGGTGGAGATAAGAGACGCATAGGGGCTGTTACGATAAGGATTTTAATGTTTTTTTGGCTTCTATGTATTCCTATTTCGTCATATCTTGTGTAATACTCACTAACTCTTCCTCGTAGCTCAGTCGCTCGTGTGGTGGTGGGATGTGTGAGGAATATATTTATGCCGTTTTGTCAGTGATTCTCCGGCCAGGTAACTGATCAGTCTCAGAACACATGGAAGTAGAGAAAATTCAGCGCTAAAGATCAATGGAAAAGTTAAGCTAAACAATAATAATAACAACAATTGCAATAATCTTTGTTGTTCTTTGCGTAGGATCTTTCTTTCTCACTAATTGATTGGAATTTAAGATATCAAGTTATGAACTCACGTGATATTTCGATCTGAGACATTAAAAAGGAAAAAAATAGGTTAAGATGTTAGGACTAAGCCTTCGTTTGAGACAAATTTTTTTCTGTTTTGTTTTTTTGATTGTAACTAGAGTTTCTGTTTGGCTTCTTCGGAAGCTGCTTTTAATAACAACTTTCAAAAAAAATTATTTTTCAACAACAACTTTACAATCACATTTATAAAAAGTTATAATTGTACCAATTAAACACTAATTTAATAGATTAATTTTTTTTTCTTTTACTTTATTTTCCTTGCTCTTAGATCAAGCTTCCTTGTTGGTTAATTTGGTTTAGTACTTGATATGGGTAAATCGAATCACTACTCTGAAAATCATGTAATTGTTGGAATCCTCTGAATGAGGGGTTACTATAGGTTATTATGTTGTTATTCATGCTTCTGAGAATGTTGTTAGTGAAATCATGATAAATGAATTAAAAAAATAATGTTATAAATCAGAGGCGAAATCGGCCATAATTTTCAGGGAGTCAAACTTATAAGTAAACGAGTACAAATTTATTTTTCATATATATTATGATTCTTTGTACTTGAATATATAATACATTTATAAAATATCATCAACATCTGATATAATAAGAATTATTCTTAAACAAAATTAGGTTGAAGTATGAATGATTTGTTTGCAAAAAAAAAAGTAAAATTGTGTAATTGATTAATCATTCAATTTCTACAAAAATGTATGTTGGAGTTGCCTTGAATTTGGCTCGTCCTCTATTTATTCATATCCTTGATCTTTGTACGCTTCTCAAATATGCGGTTCCAAAGGGCAGCACCTGACGGGTTTCGGACTTGTCCGGTTATGTAGCAGAGTCAAGAGAGCAGCGCCCTCGGGTGTTTCTGGAGGCGTGCAATTATGGCTCTCAAAGTCTATAGCTCCCTCACCCTTAAGCTTCTTTCTTATTCCGAAGAAGAACATTCACCATTTCAACCTTTCCAAAAAAACTAAAAAGCATAAAATATTTCAATCTTTAAATAAAATCCTAAGAAAAAAATGATTGCCATAATGTATAGCTAAGAATAATATTCTATTATAGCCGCTAGATGTGGAGATGTGCTAATTGATAGAATCATATAGTTGGATAGCTTAATTAATTTTTTTTTTATTATTATCTTTCAATAGTTAAATATAAATTTAAAAAGATAATAATTAGTATTCTACTTTCTCTCCTTAGGAGCTTTTGTAGGACAAATTAAGTAAATAATTTTCTTGTGATTTTCAAACAATCAAATGATTTCTTTCATCCTTTTTTTTTAAATATATAACATAATTTTAGCAAAAAAAATTGTATTATGTGAATAAAGATAAGCATGTTTTCAGATATCTTATTAATAATAAATTGTTTAAAATTTCTTAACTTATTTTAATAATAATTAGTATTTAATATAGTATTGAAAATAAAATGAAATATACAACAAATTTACATATACTATTTCTTATATATTATAGAGTTTTTAATTTACTAAAAAATAGTTGAAAATAAAAAATAATAATCATTCATCTATCCAAGATCTCATGTCAAATCATCAAGAAGATTGCTCCGAAGGGTAAATGGGCAATAATTATCTTTAGGCTTCATTTGGGATAACTTTGGCCGTTTGCTTTCTAAAAAAATTATTTTGGGGTCAAAAAGTTGTTGAGAAATTATAAAAAAAATTGTCAAAAAATGAAATTTATTATATTATAAAAGTACAATAAAAAGTCTTAAAAGTTAAAATAATAAATAATTATTTTATTGGACATAATTTTATTGTTAAAAATAAGATAGGACATAATATATAATTTAATATTTTTATGGTCTAATAATAAAAATTTTCCCAACACAATTTGTAATTAAAAAGAGATATTAACGATGAGTTAACAATGGCATGTTTTTTTAAAATTTTAATTAAGCTAATATTTAGAATTATGTTTAATTAATTAATCTTATTTCTAAGAGTTCTAAAGCATACAAACTGGTATTGGTTAATTTAAGAATTTGCCCGTTTGTTAACATTTTAGCCCAAAAAAGACAAATACCGAATGGAAAAATTTTCAATCGATAACTGTTACAAAATGGGCCCTCAAAATTGGTGTTTTTTTAATTTTATTTTGTTTTCTTTGTTCTGGTTTGCGTTAGTTATGATGATAAATTCAATTTATATTTATTAAAAAAATGGCTCATTATGAAATAATTGCGTTCATACATATAGAGGGTGTCAATAAAAAAAAAATTAATTATTGGGGCGGACAACTGGAAGCATCCAAGAGACCACAGAACGTGCCACGTCATTTTTCTACGACGGTATCGGGTGATTTGACGCATCGATTGATCTCCAGGACGTCCGGCATCCGCAAGAATAACTTTCTTCAATAAATACTCTACCCAAAGCCTTATCCAAAATTCAACCAAAAAAACATATTGTTTGTAATTAACCCAGATTCAATAAATAGGTTTATTGGGGTTTTAGATTGCAACCCGATTAATGAGCAGGTCGATTAGGTTGACCCCATTGAACCATCTATTGATCTGAAATTGACCCTTTTTTTATTAAATATTTTACTTTTGGTTCTCTTATTGTTTTTTATCAATTAACTTAAACTTCTATGTTAATAAGTTCTTAATTTTTTTATCAAAATGATTTATCAGGTGGGTTCAAGGCAAACTTTTGACACATGTTTATATAAACTGGTCACCTTCAAGCCGACTTGATTCAGTCGGATCAATTTAGCGATTGGACGTACACAAACACGTGAATCATTAACCTATTTTTGACACACCAACATACATAACAATAAAAGATAAAACCAAATAGAATTGCTTGTAGAGAAAAAAAAAAAAAAATAATAATTTATTTTTTTTTAGGAAAATATTAATTTATATTACACTATATTCTCTTCCTAAAGCGGCAAATCTAAAAAAAAAGAAGCATTTGGAAATCAATATAAAGAAAAAGAAGACAGTTTTCATGCTTCGAATGCAATGCGTAAATTTTTGCATGTGGTTTCAAAACTGCTATTGTGGAAGCATTTATGCACATAATGTTCGATATCCTCCATCAGTTTAGCACAAAAAATTCGTTAAGCTCCAATCTCTCTGCCGTTTTTGGGCATGGACGCGCATAAAGAGCAAAAAATATACGGCTTGAATTTCAACACAATTTTTAGAATGGAGATGTTGAGGGGTAGAATATATATCGCATAGAGTGAGGTAATTTTTCGTCCCTATTTGGTAAGAATATCCAGCCACCACAAAGAGAGAAAATAAAACATCCAATATTTTTTTAGTAAGAACCGGGTGTCCATATTTGAAACATCGACACGAAAACCTGACCCTTACCCGACCTCAGAAAATCCCGTGTTGGAGAAAAAACGGTCGGGTTCCGTTGAACAGAAAACCCATTTATTTTAAAAAAAAATTTGGATTCCCGCCGCTGCCCACTGCCCCACGCGATGCTGCCTGGTCCCGCTGACCCAAGAAATTGACACCCCTAATAGAATAATATGAGACATTCACATTTCAATCTTTCCAAATAAATAAAAACTAAATATTTCAATCTTCAATAAAAAATCTAAGACAAAAATGATTGTCATAATTATAGGTAAGAATGATATTCATATTATAGCCGCATAGATATGAAGATGAGCTTTGATAGAACTATAGTTTTGTTGGATTGTTTTAATTATTAATTTATTATTTATTATTTTTTTAAAATAGTTAAATATAAATTTAAAATAATTATTAGGTCTCTACTTTCATCTCCTTAGGAGCTTAAGTAGGAAACAAAATTAAGTAAAATTACTATAGATAGTGATTTCAAAATTATCAAATGATTTCTTTCATCCTTTTTTTAAATGCATAACATAATTTGAGCAAAAAAAAAAAAATTATGTGAATAAAGATAATCAGTTTTTCCTATATCTTATTAGATATAAATAGTTTAAATTTTCTTAACTTATTTAATAACAATTAGTATTTTATATAGTATATTGAAATAAAATAAATAACCAAAAACTTTCCTTATTACTATATTTAGAGTTTTTAATTTATAAGCAACAAAATTTGATCATTCCTAAAAAAATTGAAAAAAAAATATAATAATATATAATTCATCTATCAAACTATCTGACAAATCATCAAGAAGATTTATCAGAGCGTACAATGGGGACAATAAATTATCTTAGGCTTCGTTTGGGACAACTTTGACACTGATTTCAAGAATTGTATTTGTGCCAAAAAACCTATTGTAGAAAGTAATAAAAAACAATGTCCAAACGAAATTCTATTCTATCATAAAATACAATAAATGTCTAAA